AGTAGTAGTAGTTGTAGTCGTCTAAGTAGTATAGTAGTAGTGAGTAGTAGTAGTATGGGTGGTTAGTAGTAGTAGTAATAGTAGTAGTAGTAGTAGTAGGTAGTAGTAGGTGTAGTGGTGGTTGTAGTAGTAGTAGTCGTAGTAGTAGTAGTAGTAGTAGTAGTAGTAGTAGTGGTAGTAGTAGTAGTTGTCGAAGTAGTAGTAATAGTAGTAGTAGTAGTAGTAGTAGTAGTAGTAGTAGTAGTAGTAGTAGTAGTAGCAGCAGCAGCAGCAGCAGCAGCAGCAGCAGCAGCAATAGTAGTAGGGCAGACCGGGCCCTGGGTGCGAGCCGCCGCCGCGGCCGCCGCCGCGGTCGCGGCGACGGCGGCGGCTGGGGGCATCAGTCGGCCTCTTGGGGGCCTCTTGGGGCCTCTTGGTGGCTTCCTGGGGGCCTCTTGGGGCCTCTTTGGGGCCTCTTGGGGCCTCCTGGGGCTCTCTTGGGGCGTCTTGGGCGCCTCCTGGGTCGTCTTGGGGCTCTCTGGGGTCGTCTTGGGCGCCTCTTGGGTCGTCTTGGCGCTCTCTTGGGCCGTCTTGGGGCCCTCTTGGAAGCCTTTTGGGCTGTTTCGGGGCGCTCCTGGGGGCTTCTTGGGCCGTCTTGGAGCGTCGGAAATCAGAAAAGGCGGGAAAGCCAAAGCTGTTCAAAAACCATGGTAAAATTGACGATTTGGGCGTCTCGGGGCGCACACACGCACACACGCACACACGCACACACGCACCCACGCACCCACGCACCCACGCACCCACGCACCCACGCACCCACGCACCCACGCACCCACGCACCCACGCACACACGCACACACGCCACACGCACACACGCACACACGCACCACGCACACACGGACACACGCAAACCGCCACACACGCACACACGCACACACGCACACACGCACACACGCACACACGCACACACGACCAGCACACACGCACCCGCACACACGCAACACGCACACAGCACAACGCACACACGCACCCACGCACCCACGCACCCACGCACCCACGCACCCACGCACCCACGCACCCACGCACCCACGCACCCACGCACCCACGCACCCACGCACCCACGCACCCACGCACCCACGCACCCACGCACCCACGCACCCACGCACACACGCACCCACGCACCCACGCACCCGCGCACCCACGCACGCACCCGCGCACCCGCACGCCCGCGCACCCGCGCACCCGCGCGCCCGCGCACCCGCGCACCCGCGCACCCGCGCACCCGCGCACCCGCGCACACGAGCACCCACGCACCCACGCACCCACGCACCCACGCACCCACGCACCCACGCACACACGCACCCACGCACACACGCACACACGCACACACGCACACACGCGCACACGCGCACACGCACACACGCACACAGACGCACACAGACGCACACAGACGCACACAGACGCACACAGACGCACACAGACGCACACAGACGCACACAGACGCACACAGACGCACACAGGCACAGACAGACACACACACAGACACACACAGACACACGCAGACACACACAGACACACACAGACACACACAGACACACACAGACACACACAGACACACACAGACACACACACAGACACACACACAGACACACACACAGACACACACACAGACACACACACAGACACAGACACACACAGACACACACAGACACACACAGACACACACAGACACACACAGACACGCACAGACACACACAGACACACACAGACACACACAGACACACAGAGACACACAGAGACACACAGAGACACACAGAGACACACAGAGACACACAGAGACACACAGAGGCACACAGAGACACACACAGACACACACAGACACACAGAGACACACAGAGACACACAGAGACACACAGAGACACACAGAGACACACAGCGACACACAGAGACACACAGAGACACACAGAGACACACAGAGACACACACAGACACACAGAGACACACAGAGACACACACAGACACACACAGACACACACACACATTTATGGTAGAGGTCGCGGCCCGGGGGCCCGGGCCCAGGTGCGCCGTTATATGTGTGTATATAGAATAAAAACCCTCAGCGGTTGTCTATTATTTTCGATTCCCAAGCCGACGACCCCGAAACCGACTAAGTTGGACCATCTTTTGTATTCTGTTTGTGGTTTGTTGTTTTTGAGCCCTCACAAGGTTTAGTTTTTTGTTTGTTTTTGATTAAACTTTCAATGATGTTTCAATGGTTTTGAGTCTTTGGCTGGCGAGCTTGGAGGACGGAATCGGAGTGATCGGAGAAGCTGGTGCAGAAGGGCTGGGATGTTGTGGAGAGGAGCTTGCTCATGATGCTACATTCCTTCTCATCTTCCTCCTCCTCCGCCTCTGGAGCGCCTCACGAATGCCATGCTCCTGTTACGCGCCTTTCTTTCAGGGGTGCGCGTCCGGTTGTCAAAGGGGATGCTTAAATATAAATTCGAAGAGAGGAGAGGCGAGTGACGGGAGTTCATGGAAAGGGAAAATATGATGATGATGATGATGATGATGATGATGATGATGATGATGATGATGATGATGATGATGATGATGATGCTGATGATGATGATGATGATGATGACGATGATGATGATGATGATGAAGATTATGATGATGATGATGATGATGATGATGATGATGATGGAGAAGCGGAGGAGGAGGAAGATGGCCAGGAGGCTGGCATCAATGCGTGTCCCATTGAACCCCTATCGATGAGCAAATCGAGAATGAACAAATTATGTGGGAGCTGGGATCGACGCGTATCCTATTTATTTCCAAATTCAAACATATCATAGCAATGCTTCAGCTGGAGGTTGGGACCGGCATATTCCCGATTGAATTTATTTCGAGAATGCACATCAATTATTCGTGAAGGTTCTGGAGAGGAAACAGTTGCCGTAACGCGCGAATTCATTGCAAAGCATATAGCCAATTGAAGAACTCAGCGGGAGGTTGGGATCGGCGCATTTCCTATGGAACTCTTTGGCGGACAAACAAATCAAATATGCAACCATGATGCAGGACGCCGGGGTCCGCGCGTCTCGTATAGAATTCCCATTGACAAACAAACGAGATTCAATAGCTCTGCGGGAAGCTGGCGTCGAAGCACTTCCGATTGAATTGCGATCGACCGACAAGTAGAAGATTGAAGAATTGGGCGTGGGGCTGGGGTCAGCGAAGTTCCTTTTGAACCCTCATTGGGAATCAACAGCATCGTAACTAAGGCTGCGGGCGGCTGGGATCGGCACATTTCCGATTGGGTTCGCTTTGAAAAGGGAACCAATTATTGTGAAGGGACTGGAGAAGAAGCAGTTGACGAAATGCGCTTGCTCATCATTGAAAACCAAATGGCTGGTATTGTAGAACTCAGCAGGAGGCTGGCACCAACGCATTTCCTATTGAAAGTAGTCGGCCCGCCGCGTTGCATCGCCGTCACTGCTACGCTCGCCACCACTAGTAGCAATGGAACCACCAGCGGGATACGGCCCCCGCTCACACGGCGGCGGTGATCAGCCATGGCGGCTGTCTGCATAGTGGCACAGGCCTGAACGATTGCTGGCATGACGGGCCAGCGAAACCCTGAGGGACCTTGAACACGCACGCTCCATAAGACTCACTGAAAAATAGCTGGATCCACGACTTGAGCCAAAATGGCTACGGAGGATGATGATGACTATGACGATGGCGATGCTGATCATGATGATGAAACTGATGATGAGCATGATGATGAAACTAATGATCATGGTCGAGATGAATCTGATGATGCTGATGCTGATGACGATGATGATGATGATGACGGTGGTGATGCTGGTGTTGATGATACTTACGATAACGATGGTGAATCTGATTGGTATGAGGGTTATGAGGTTACAGATGGATCTGATGATGGTGTTGAGGATGACGATGGCGATGCTGATCGTGATGCTGATGTTGATGATGCTGATGGTGGTGGTGGCGATGGTGCTGAAAATGATGATGGTGATGATGATGGTGATGATGGAGGTGATGACGGGTATGATGAAGATGAAGAGGGCAATGAAGATGATCATGGTGGTTACGATGATGACGATGACGATGACGATCGCGATGATGATGACGCCGATGACGATGATGATGCTGCTGATGATGCTGATGCTGATGCTGGTGACGATGATGTCGCTGACGATGGCGATGGTAATATGGATGATGATGATGAACACGATGCTGATGATGATGATGCTGATGGTTGCGATGATGGTGATGGTGATGGCAATGGAGATGAAAGAGATGATGACGATGCTTATGATGAAGATGTCGATGACGGTGATGATGCTGATGATGATATCTGATATTGGCGATGATGATGACGGTGGTGGTGATGATGATGATGATGAGTATGATAATGATGATGATGATGCTGATAGTGATGTTGATGCTGATGATGATATTGATGGATCTGATGGGTATGAAGCTGGTGATGGATATGATGCTAATTGTGATGATGATGGTAGTGCTGCTGATGATGATGATGATGATAGTGATGTGCTGCTGCTGCTGCTGATGATGATGGGTATGATGATGGTGAGGATCATGATGATTATGCTGCTGATGATGACGACGATGATGCTGATAAGGATGATCACGACTATGATGGTGATGGTGATTATGGTCATGATGATGGTGCTTGCGATGGTAATGGTGTTGGTGATGATGATGATGATGATGATGATGATGATGATGATGATGATGATGATGATGATGATGATGATGATGATGATGACGATGCTGATGGTGATGATGATGATGTTTATACGGATGTGGTTGTTGATGATGATACTGATGTTGATGTTGATGCTGATGGTGATGATGATGATGATGATGATGATGATGATGATGATGATGATAATGATAATGATGATGATGGTGGTGGCGATGATGATGATTGTGGTGGTGATGATGATCACGACGATCATGGGGGAAGGATCTTTCGTGGGCGCATCTCCTGCGGCCCGCCGCGAGCTGTTCTCACGGCCAGCGTGGGAGGGGCCGCCCCTCGGCAAGGCCGGCGGCCCGCCCGGCGCGTCGAGGTGCGCCGGGGGGCCGCGCGCAATCTGGCGGCCAGCGCGCGGTCCGCTTCCTTCCCGAGGGCCCTGGGGGCTATCAAAGAACGGCCCGGGGTGAGAAGCTGGCCGCGGGGAAGGGGGGGTCGGGAGCCCCGGGGCACACGCCAAGACAATGATGGAACTTCGGATGGAGGGATGGAGGACGTCCTCCTCCTTCTCCTTGTCCTCCTCCTGGGCGAGTCATAAAGGCAGCCACAAGTCTGGGGGTACACCTTGCAACCATTACCAATGCGGGAGGCTCGCACGCCGAGTGCGAGCACTGGAAAAGGAATTTCAGCCAATCAGTTTCACATAATATACAGAAACTTAATTCGGTATTTAACCTCTGGACCCCCTGGACACAATAGATGACTCCGTCGAGCTTGCATTTGCCTTGCGCAAGCCTGGTCCCGACCGTTTTGCCCCCCTTCGGGGTTCGAGGGGTTTTTAATCTACGATTCCCCTATGCATGCTTGCACAAAGAAAGTTATTGCCACATCGACTATGCCCCCCTACATGATCGGAGGTGAGGGGGTGAGATCGAAGTGGAACGGGGAGCCCCCCTCCCGGGAAATCGGTTTCGGCTTCGTGTTCGTGCGTGCCGTGCGTGCGGGCGAGGCGAAGCTGCGTGGGCGGGCGAGAAGAAAGTCTCATCCGGCTGAGGCGCGGCCAGACCAAATGATTCCTCTCCGGGGGCCGGTGGCGCGCGGTGTCCCGCCGGTGTCCCGCCTCCAGCTGAGGCGCGGCCGGACCAAACGATCGGTGTCCCGCCGGTGTCCCGCCTCCGGCTGAGGCGCGGCTGGACCAAATGATTCCTGACCGGGGGCCGGTGACGCACGGTGTCCCGCCGGTGTCCCGTCGGTGTCCCGATGATGATGCTGATGTCGATGATGTTGATGATGATGTTGGTGATGGTGGTGATGATGATGATGGTGTCCCGATGATGGTGATGGTGGTGATAATGATGTTGACGATGTTGATGGTGATGATGGTGATAGTGGTGGTGCTGATGGTGTCCCGATGATGATGATGTTGATGGTGATGATGTTGCTGATGATGGTGTCGCGGTCATGATGATGATGATGTTGGTGATCCTGATGATGATGGTGATGATGAGCTGATGATGATGATGATGATCTGATGATGATGTTGATGATGATGGTGTCCAAATGATGATGTTGATTCTGAGGTTGATGATGATGCTGTTTATGATGATGGTGTCCCAGTGATGATGACGATGTTGATGATGCTGACGACGATGATGGTGTCCCGATGAAGATGATGTTGATGATGCAGATGATGATGAAATGATGATGCTGATTTTGATGGTGGTGGCCCCCTGATAGTGATGATGCTGATGCTGATGTTGATGACGATGATGGTGTCCCGATGATGATGATGGTGCTGATGATGCTGGTGACGATGATGATGGTGTGATGGTTGGTCCCGGATGCAGGGCCGATTGATCGATGATGATGAGGAGGTTTGATGATGATGATGATGGATGATGATGATGATGATGATGAGACTTGATGCTGATGATGAATGATGTTGTTTGGTGTGTTAACGAGGTGATGTTTTTTTGCTGGTGTATTGATGATTGTTCTTTGTGTCCACGCGATGAATGGATGATTGATGCATGCGTTTGGAACTAGCCCGCGGGCCAGGACCCCTGAGCCATGAATTTTTTAGAACAGCTGTGGAAGGTTTGGCCGACGATGGCAGGGAGGGAAGGCGAATAAAAACGACGGGGGGAAGACGGCAACACCGAACATATGGGATGCACGGGTCACTCGCGGCAGCACAGACGTAAACAGAAATCGGGTCAAAACCCCTCAAGCGAGGGCGGGTGGGATTGGGAGCTTGAGCACGACGGTTGTGGTCGTGCGGCCGTCCATTCCCTTCCCCAGCAAACACCGCACTAAAGTTGCTACTATGCCAGGTCGGGGCGCCGCGGCCAGGACCGACTCTTTAGAAAAGCTGACGGTGGCGATGGCAAGAAACGGCGACAACGACTACCAGGGTGCACGGGTCACTCGCGGCAGCACAGGCGTACATTGTTTAACACTAACATCACGGCCGAAGGCCGCCAAGCACATACCTACGGGCCTGAGACAATTCCTCGATAGCTGCCGCGATCGAGTCTGCCACTAACTCCGAAGCTCGAACGGGAAAGCGGGCAGCCTTGTCTGCGCGCGATGCCTTTAGCCGTGTGGCCATCAAAACATAAGTGCGGCCGCCCCGAATGCGAGCACACAAACGCAGTAGTAGGACATGCGCGCGCGAGACGACGCATGCTTGGGCAGTGCCAGCAAGCCACGCGCGTGGACGAGCGAGTGGCAGCACCAAATGGGCAGAGGTTCACCTGAACGTCCCCGAAAGAAGGGTGATTCATTAACCGAACTAACTGTGGCACGTTCCAGATGGCACTCCTACGCGGGTGTTCGAAGCAGACGGGGGCACGGTGCTTAATGCACGCGCGGATAAGCTGTATAGCGGCACGCAACTCTACATTGTCACAAGGGGGGAGACGGCAAAGCGCTGACCTCGGCAGCACGGCCGCGCTTACCCCGCGGATCAGCCCCCGTGCCACTAGGCCGAGGACGAACCTAACACCAGGTGCCCCCAGGCAGAGACAGCCAGAGAGCGCAGACAGCCGACGATCGAATCCACCCGAGAATTCGATCGACAACCAACTGCTGAGAAAGACCGAGGCTTACATTCCGACCCGCCCCTAACCTGGGACATCCCAGCCCGCGACTGCGCAGCGCTCTGCATATGGGGGCCCCGTGGGGCCCCGCCGCAGGCAGCGCGAGCCGCCTGCGGAGGGGGGGCCAGGCATGGGCCCGCCGAAACGCGGCCTTCAAGCGAGACGCTAGCGCATGGTCAGAACGGGCGCCTGCTTCGCGGCCCGCGGGATGGCGGGCAGCGGTTGGAACGGGACTGGCAGAAGGAATTCGCCTCTGACAGAACTCAGCGTGATCAATTCCGCCAGCCGTTCGAACACCTGATTACCGAAAGCCGCGACGTCTGGCGGCAAGTCCCCGATTCTCAGCTGCATCCGAGTGCGTTTGCCGTATCTCCTCGACGTCTTGTCCGTCGCCCGCCGACCTCGCTCCTTCACTTCCGCTATCGATCGGGGCCCCGAGAGCAAGTCGTGAGAGCCCCCCCCCATGGCGCAGGGTGTACAGCTAGGGGAGCTCCTTCTGCAGGCCCAGCTCCAACAGCCCCTGGGCGAACGTGGCGCGAACGTCGGCGGGCCTGAAATTCTAGAGGCTGGCGTTCGCGTCCCTGTTGGCGCTGAAGGCGAGCAGCGCGGGCCACAGCCCTGGGGCGTCCACCGGGGCCGATTCGTCGGTCACTCCAGTCTTCCCAGGGCGGCCCGACTTCGCATCGTTCACAATGAGCCCCCACGAGCTGAACCCTGTCCCCGCGATCGGCGCCACCAGCGATCCCGCCCGCGGGCGGTGGGCCTCGGACGGCCTCGGGTAAGCGTGGAACACCAGCGCCACGAACACCACCATGCCGGGCAGGTTGCGGGATATCATCCATCCCGCCACCGCCGTGGCTGCAGCCCGAGGCAGGGGGGGCCGCATCTGCGGCGGCACCAGCCTGCGCCAGCCGTCCAGCGCGCGGGCCGTCCGCGGCAGCGGGCGCTTGCCCCCCAAGAGGTGGGGCAAAAAGTGCCTGAGCGCCGCCGCCGACACCCTGCCCGTCGCGGAGTCGAACCCGTCCAGGGCCAGGTCGGTGAGGAACGCCGCCGCCGCCGCGCCCAGCTGGCTGGAACTGCTGAAGTCCAGGCCGTGCCGCGTCACCCACTCCAGGGGCCTCGCGGCGTGCCCTCGGTAGCGCTCCCGCGTCGCGTCCGTGACTGCTGGCATCTCCAGGAAGTTGATCGAGCCCCCCGCCAACTGCGCAGGGCGAGGGTGCGCCATTCTACGGGCGGCCTGGATCGTCATGGACCGCTGCCTCTCCGCAGGCTGCAGCTGGCGGCGCCGCGGTCGCCTCCTCGAAGCTTTTCCCGTGGAAGAAGCCATGGCGCGACGGCCCATCGGCCGCGTTCAGCTCCGAGGGCAGCCAGCGCAAATAACGACAGAAGTTGATCGCGAGGGCGAGGGCTGCGACCTTCCGCAAAGGGCGCCGAAGGACGGGCTCAAGACCGCGCCCTTTCCCAGCCGCCAGAGCCAAGGGGAGGTTATCTGAGAAGAACAGATGACGGTGATGGTGGAGGGACACGTTGCGGGAGGCGTGCCGCGCGGCGTCGCGCAACGCCTCGCCCTCGAGCTCCAAGATGTTCTTGCAGGGGTCCCAGTGCCTCCTCGAGATGACTGTGGCCCGCTCGGAGGCCTTCGTGATCTCTCCGGGGATCTCCAAGAAGCCCTTGACGGAGACCTCGGGGTTGATCGGCTTGCACCCGTTCACGCCTGCGGCCCCCAAGAAGCCCTCCTCCGCGCGGGGCCCGTCCAGGCCCAAAGCGTTGGCCCCAGCGGCCACGACTGACGTACACCTGCGCCGCCACCTCTCCGTCGACCTCCCCGTCCTGGACACCGGGGGCCCCTCCGGCTCCCTTGTGCAGACGCCGACCCCAATGGGCGACGCATCAGGGGCCGAGGCCCGCGAGCCCCATGGGAGACCCAAGTCCGAGGGCCACAGAGGCAAAGTACTAGCGACGCACCAGCGCTCGAACCTCACGGAGTTCCACAAGGGCCTGACGTCGGAGTCCTTGAGGGACTTGAGGACGTAGGCGGAGGACAGGATGGACAGGGTCTCTCTTTTGCAAATCATGGCCCAGATGATGTGCCCCAGCGATGCTTCCAGCAACCGAGGCGAGGCAGCCCCCCTCCGCAGCGCCGCCAGAATCGCCTGGCGCAAGCGGATGAGGCTGGACGGCTTCACACGTACCGTGCCTCTCCCGCCCTCCACCTCCAGGCCAGTAGAAATCGTCGTCGGCGAAGCTTGGTCGATGGAATGCACGGGCAAGCCCCGCCTCTCCAGCGTTCGAATGATCCGATCCCTCTTGGCTGTGACTGTAGCAGCGTCGCAGCCCACCGCGGCGAAGTTGTCAAGCCGGCTGCGCGGGACAAGGTCGCCCGCCTTCGATCAAACTCCCGTCGCCGAACCCATTCTCCACCAAATCTCTGC